CGTTATTTAATCAATCAAATTGGTACGATTTAGACGAGTTTGATGAATCTAGAGAGTATATAGAAACAAAAAAGGCAATGGATATCATGGGAATAAATTCAGATGAACACGTATAAAGGACAATTGTTTCACACTCAAGAAGTGTTTTTTTTTTTTTGCTAACTCTATTTCATTTGTAGATGACAAAAAAAAAAGATGAGAAATCTAATAAATCACTAGATGACTAAACCAAATTAGAGATAGTGCAATCTTCTCATCATATATATTCTGTCAAAAAATAAATTGAGCTATCTTTATCATATTCTTTTTCCCAACGTATAGCATTAAAAAAAAGTAAAATATGGACAACATTCTTTAATAAACCTTTAGCTTATTTACCATTCGTTCAAATAATTGACATGTAAATATTTAACTTTCAACATTGTATCAATTATTATTTTCAAAAAATATTAGATTTAGTATATAAGCGCTAAATGACGCCTCTTGCTTTTTCTCAATTTGTGCTTTACTTCTAGATCTCCATTTCCATCCAACTAAAATATATACTTTCAAAAGGATAACAGAAACAACCAAGAAAATTCCAATTTTTACGAATATAAAAACATATCTTTGTTCAACAGTTTCCTAATGAAAAACTTCTTCATTACTCCTCCCGCTTTGAACATAATTTACTTTATACAATTATTAACATTCAAAACGCTAATATCACCTTTCAAATAATACAATCCGTGCATTGCACGGAGCCTAAACTAGTTATATAAAAAAAAAGTTGGTAATTCGTATCGGAGATCCCCCAACCTTTTTATAAAGGATCAACTGAGTCCCTTATCAATGTTTTGCAAGGTTCTAAGAAAGCGTGTCGTGTGACGTTTAAGTCCGCATCAGGCAGTCAAAAATGACTATTTTTTTCTATGCCTTCCCCATACACGAGATTTTTCGTCACGCATCCTGCCTTTTAAGTACTATTATTTGTCATGTTTTAATTCTCAACTACTCATTTTTGTAGCGCTGAAGTTCCTAGTATCATCATTTTATATTCAAATGAATAAATAAAACACAAGTAACACTTAAAAAAAAATAAAAATAAAAATTACCTAACCCATTCCCAAAATTTCATCTACGAAGGAAGGTGACATAGAAATTGGTACTGGGGGAGAGCTAAAATGGATTTTCATGTGGAAATATTTTTCTGTTCAACTTAAATTTGTTTGGGTAATAGTACACGTATATTAGAGAGTCCATAATGGTTTTCATCCCCCTCACATAGAGGGGGACCCACTTCAAATAAAATATCTGAAGTGGACTCCATATGAAGAAGGTAGACATCATTACGAATACCGCATTATACACAAGTAGCGTATTCCAATTTGTTTTAATTCAATCTTGACTCCATCCTATGCAAGGGATTGAAGGTAGATTCTTGAGAAGCTAAAGGCACAAGTCGAATGTTGTAACTACATATTTCTAGCTGTAGATTGTGTTTGTATGTATCCAATCTTTAGTACATTGGCTTGTGCATTGCAGACACGACTATAGTAAGTAGTTGCAACGACTAGATCAAAGGCAAAGTAGGCATAAAGGCTATATGCACATCGTGAGTTTTAAGTTGAAGATATCATGACATTTTATCATTGTGATGAATTTTGGGAAGAAGTCTAAAGCACATTGTTGGGTGTGCTAAGTGTTGAGGCTCGTTAATTTTGTGACTCAAAACAAATAATTGTGAGTCCCATATAATAATTGTGTCTCATACTTTGTTTATAATATTTTATCAAAAAGCCATGAAAAAA